CTCGCAGGGCATCGCTGGATGCTCTTCCCTCACCACGCTGCTCCTCTCCTGCCCAGGAAGCAATGGTTTGCAATCAGTCCCACTCTCGCAACTGCAGATATAACCATCTTCGTGTCTCTTTGGTCTCTGTTCATCCAGGTGTGCATTAAACCGTGTGCCTCTGCCACCCCTTTCCCAGGCAGCAGCCCTGCTTGCCCCGAGGACCCTGCACAGGCAGCTCCTGCCTGGGCTGCTCCGCTCTGGCTCCTTGTCTTGCTCACCATCGTGTCGTTATTCCAAGAAAAATGTGTGTCTGGGTTCAAATATTTAACGCCTGCTTAGCCCAGGTGCAAGCAGCACTTGGTAGAACACTGCTTCACCCTGTTTTGCTCTTCATCACATCCATCACCCCCAGCTCCTCGCGGAGCCCCTCTCGCCGGTCCTGGGGTACAGCAATACAGGAGGACCGTGAGCCTCTTGTTGTCCCCCCCCAAGCTGGGGAGAGCGTTTGCTCTGGCTGAGCACCTTTTGCCCGTGCACGCTCTCAGAGACTGGGCTGTCCTTGGCAGCGGTGGAAGGACTCACTGAAAAGCAGCACCAGGAGCAGTGCCAAGGCCCCAGGCCGGTGCAGGCAGCCTCCCCAGGACCAGCCCGAGCGGGGCTGCTTGAGCACTGACACACAGGGAGCACGTGCCGTGGGTGAAAAGCAGCTGGGGCTGCCTGGGTTTAGGTTTCCTCCTGACAGGCCCGTTTGGCCTGTTTGCAGGAGAAGGGGTGACCGGTACGACTGAAACAACAGCAGGGTTGGAATATATAAAGTTAATAAAGTTTATGCAATGCTCTCCCCGTCTGAGCAGCATCTGTGCCGTGCAACATAGCAGAAACGAGTCTGGCTGTTAATTGAGCAAGTCTCCGGGCAGGAGGGGCCTGGAAAGGGGAGGTGGGAATGTGGTTTAGGTGTGTGATAAATTCTGATCTGGCCACGCTTCCTCTGAAGCTCGAGGAAGGGCGAGGCGCTTGCTGAGACCTCGGGAGCTGCGGCCGTGCCCCGGGAAGGTGGCAGCTCCAGGTTAGAGTGTCCACAGGTGCAAAAAGCAACAGGTTGGGTTTGGACATGGTTGCAAGAGGAAACCCTCATCTTGCAAAGCGTTCTGCAGCCTGATCAAACACCCAAGCAGAGAGCACGTGTATGTGCAGCCCAGGTCCCCTCCTATGAGAAACTAAAGACTGAAGCCGTGTCCAGCAGGTGATGGATTTATTGCACGCCAAGAAAAGGCTGGGACACACGTGATGCGGGCACGGCAGGGCTGTTGCAGCAATAAAGATATTAAATTTGCAGGTCTGGCTGCCACCAGATGGAGCTAAAAAATTAAGTAGGAGGAGAAGGGTGTGCGTGGGGTGACCGGGGCAGTGGGGGGGGGCTGGCGTGGGGAGCAACGGTG